TTTTTTCTCAGATTTTTTTTCCAGTGGTCCTAATCCTCTTCCGTAATGCAGACCCTATGAGTTGGCTTAGATATTAGTGTATTGTGTTTGCAAAACTGTTTGTGTTGATTTTAGATTTGTGTGTTTTTTTCCTGACCTGTTGGCTGTTTTACACCTTTTGTTTCACCCGTCGGCGGGAATTGATTCAAATTTAGTGATTCTGATTCCTTATCGATTCTCTTGTCACCACCGTCGCTAATCAGCAATAAAGACATTACATTCATGCAAATTAAATGCATGCTGTGGGTCAAATTTTTGTGCATGATTGTTGAGGTGTTTCCCCTCTATGTTGTGATCAATGTTGGAGTCATTACTCACAATTATTACACGTATTACACAGAACACGTTCCTTAAATGTAATGCAGTACTTTACTTAATTACTTAGAGACGCTGTCTCATAATCACCATTTAACAATATAAACCTGAGGCTACAACTCCACACAACAACACAAATCCCTAATGAGGACTCTAAGATATTTCTCTTAGTAGAATACAAAGCTGACCGCACAAAGCAAAGATAAAAGCTGTCGCCACGGTGATTCTGCTTTAGAAAGGTGAACAGGTAGAAAGGGAGACTGCAACCTGACTGGGTAAGGACCTGGCTGCTGGGATCAGCTTTCACTCAGCTTTCACTCAGCTTTCACTCTGGGTTCTTGGCTAGCTTAGCGTTAGCATGCTGTCTTGGCAGATGCTTGCAAAGAACCAAAGTTGTATTAGGAACATAATGCAGCTGTTTCTGCCCTGGATGCAGTTTTTCACTTTCCCATGTATCTCATTTTTTTTATGGAATAAAAATAAATGCCCTGCGACAGCCTGGGGACCTGTCCAGGGTTCACCCTGCCCTCACCCTGAGACAGCTGGGATAGGCTCCAGCACCCCCTGCGACCTTGAAAAGGATAAGCGGAAGTGAATGGATGGATGGATAAAAATAAATGTCCATATCCATGCTCTAGACTGCGTCGCTATTGTCCTCCTCTGACACGATAAGTGGGATTGATAGGCAGGCAGACTCATAATTGGACTAGCAGGAACCAGCGCTCTACAAGAACCAGTTCTCGATTCTCATCCCTAAGTTAGGTATGTTTCCTGTTCAGTTGTTTCTTCCTGTTTTATTGTTGTAATGTTGTTTTCTGCGTCTTGTGTTGTTACTTCCCCCCCACCTCATTATGTCTATAGTTTCCAGCTGTGCCCCCACCTGCTTCCTCTTCCCGCATTATCTTATGTGTACTCATACCTACCTTTTCCCTGTTTCCTCATCTTGTTTCTGTGGTTCTTTTCTCCCTGTTCTCCTCAGACTCCCCTGTGTATACCGGTGCATACTATTTCTTAGCTCCCTGTTCCCTACTATACCTGTCAGAGCCATCGCACACGCAGTCACGCGCAGCGTTGTCCTTGGAAATTAATGACTGCACATGTGCTGCAGTGCAGCTTGGTCAAACAGAGAGGAAAGATGAGAGGGGGTGAAAGAGGAGAGAAGTAAAAAAAGAGAGGGGGGGGTAGGATTGCAAGAAGGAAGAGGAGTGGAGGTTTTTTTTAAAGAAGCTAAACAGATGGTTCAGGGAAAGCTGAGGTTTGACAGAGTATGAACTTCAGATAAGCATTAAGACTTAAACAGAAAGAAAAGAGGTTTTCATTGCTTGCAGATAGCCCTCAGTCGAGATGTACTACTGTGAAACAGTGCTTATTAAAACTGTGTGTGTAACTGAGCAAACTGCTTAACTCATGCCTTTACTCTTATCTGAAAATGAGACCAGAAATACAAAACACAAAGCTGTCATTCCTGCAGTTTTCTCACCTTCTAGTGTTTCATCGTATTTATAACACCCACTGAAAGCTGCGGCAGTAATGACACAGATAATCCAAGCCCATCCCCCACACCAATCGCTGCCTCCCCTTGACCCTCATTCATTTTATAGACAGGCAGTTATTCATTATTAGTCAAAAGGATTCGTTTTGTTCACGAGGTTTTCTGATTGCTTTGAAGGTTTTGCTAATGAGAGATCATGGAGAGGTTATGATCACCCTCAAGACAAAGAATAGGAAGTGACAGAGGGATTTGCTTAGTGCTGTGTGTACATCAGACATATAAGCCACTAAGGAAAGAGTAATACATTTGTTAGCAATTCTGGGTGGTGGTTTCCTCCATGCCAAAATATCCATGCATACTTCAGAAAACAGAAAATCAAATGTAGCTAATTACTGTGACTCTGTGTAATAGCTTATCATAGGTACTGAATGGTGATGCCAGTCTTGTGCCAAAAAACGTCTCCTTTTATAAAATTGTTCATGAGTGGATTCTGTCGCTGGCTGATTCTGCAGGCATAATAAACTGAAGGGGTTAGTTAGGGGTGAGGTGAGAAGAAGAAAGCAGAGGAATATAGGACAAAAGATACACCGTGGAAGAGAGCCAGAGCTGAACAGTGAAGGTTTTAAGCCTAATCTTAAAAGCAGAGAGTCTGTCTCCCAAATCGAAACTGGAAACTGGTTCTACAGAAGAGAGCTGGTCTTTCTCTTATTCTTCTTTTAAATGTCCTGGGAACCACAAGTGAGCCACGTGCTCTATTGGGGTGCAGGTAGCAGAGAAGAGAGGTCAATATGGGGAAATATCCTCTCCTTCTCTTACATTTGATTCATTTGAGTCATAAAATGTTTCTTCCACTGAAAATGTCCAGACGAACATTTCTTCTTACCTGGATGACTAAACATTCATCAAGATGTATATAATGTAAATAAAATGGGTCTCAGCACTGGAACGCCATAATTAACCTCAGTGTGTGACGGCAACACTCAGCTGTTCATCTAGAGGTCAAAGGTCACTCTTTCAAGGATGCCAATGTTCACATTTTGGACAGAGAAGACAGATGGTTTGAAAGAGGAGTCCACTGTGAGCGACCATCTTTGAACTGAGGGCGGGGCTTACGACACCAACTGTCTGCCATCTATAATCCAGTTCTGAGATCCTTCTCAGATGCCTTAACGCCCACTCACATCCTGGGCCATTTGATCTCAGTAAATCACATGATAGGGTGAGGTCGAGTTTCACAGTGGGCTCACCCGAAACCTTGGCTGATCGAAACGTCTTCAAGGAAACTTAAAGAAGTCCAGACGCTTTTCTTTCAGAGCTTGATTGTTGTCATTGGTACTGAGGTGCAGAGACAGAACACTTCTGGGTGCCAAAGAGGGCAGCAGGGGGCACCTTCTGGCGATTTGGCATTAGGCTGGTGTTGAAGGTGACCCACAGAAAGATGACATAGACAGACTTTATTTAATCTCACACTGAGGAACTTTTACCCTTTACAGCAGCAAAAGGGACAGAAGGAAATGTTAGAAAAACAATAAACATAATAATAGTATCCTGTGTGTGTATTATACAGCTTGATTGCTGTGGGATGAAGGATCTATGGTAGCGCTCGGTCCTACAATGGGGCTGTAACGGTCTACTGCTGTAGGAGCGTCTCAGGACCTCCACGGTCTCATGCAGAGGTTGAATGTTGTTGTCCATAACGGACGTTAGCTTGGCTAACATCCCCCTCTCACCCACCTTCTCTATGGAGTCTAGGGGACTGTCCAGGACATAGCTGCTCCTCTTCATCAGTCTATTAAGCTGTTTCCTGTCCCACTTCGTGCTACCACCTCCCTAACAGACAACCACATAAAAGATAGTAGAAGTAATCAAAGTGGCATTAAAGGTCCTTAGTGGTGTTCTTCACACCCCGAATGTCCTCAGCCTGCCCAGCAGATAGAGCCACGTTTGGCCCAGAGCATGAACATTGTGTAGCCAGTGCAGTTTATTGTTAAGGTGAACAGCTGGGAATTTGTACATGTCGACTACCTCGACGTCCAAACCATGGATGGTCATCAGTGCGATGGGGGCTGTTTTTCAGTTAACCACCATCTCCTTTGTCTTATTGGTGTTTATGTGCAGGTGGCTGAGTTCATACCAGATGACGAGGTCGGTGATGACCTTCCTCCAGGTTGTGCTGTATACCAGTTGGCAGACAGCATGGACTGTCAAATGTCCATGCAGTCATTTGACAGTCAACCCCTGCTGATTCCAGCTTCTCCCTCAGCAGTGCTGGTTGGATTGTATTGAAGGCACTGAAGAACTCCAAAATCATGGCCCTCACTGTGCTTCTAATAATCCAACGGTAAAAGTGGTCTGTGCAGAAGGAAGAGGACTGCATCATCCACATGAAACGAACTGCAGGTGGTCCAGCAGCATGCACACCAGAGGTTGGATGTGATCTTGAACAATCCTCTCCAGGGTCTTCTTCAGGTGGGAAGTTAAGACCACAGGTCTGAAGTGGTTAGTCACCCTGGGGCATACAGTCTATGGCACTGGGACCACACAGGAAGTCTTCCACAGGACTGGGACCTTCTCCAGAATAAGGCTCAGCACCGTCAGGCCTGTTGCCTTTCTGGTTCTGAACTGCTTAAGTTTCTTCCTCACCTTGTCAGCACTCAAGGAGGGGGTAGGGTGCTATTGGCGAGGGAGTAAAGTGGTGAGTGATTAGGCGTAGAAGTGACACATGGAGTGGAGTGTTCAGGGAGGGGGTGGGGTGGTGTGATTGGTCACAGGGAGAGGGGGAAAGTGTGTAGCAGCCTCGGGTGGTGTTAAGAGGGGGCAGAGCGGAGTCTCTGAGTCAAATGTATGAATGAATATCTCATAACTGACGGATTGTTAGGGCCCGGTCTGTGTTTGTTTAATTGTTTGTCCTACCACACTCCAGTGAAGAAGGAAAGTTTAAAGTCCTGCAGGTATCTGTCCCACCATCAGAATCAGAGTCGTGTTTACTGGCCGAGTATAAATGCAGACACACACAAGGAATTTGGTTCCGGTAGATGATCTCAAGCACAGCAATGTAAATCACACACACACACACACACACACACACACACACACACACACACACAC